GAAATTATATTTCAATATTCCTATTAAATATTATATATTATTATGAAAATCTTGCCAATTATTACTCCCATTATTACACTTCTTTTTAGGCTACATGTTGCCCCAAAAACACATTAATATGCAAATTAGATTTAGTTTATAGATACATTATATAATGAGAAAACCTGTTTATGGCCATTTTACACACATTTTGCATAAAGCAAAATGGTATATCAAATCATTCTGTTATAACATAGTTGAGAATTATCTTTATACAAAGTTTGGTAAAAAAAAATCCTGAAAACTAAAAATGTATTTGTGATTTAGAGAAAAAAAAAACAATTGCATTTTCATTCACGTCTTTTTATTTTATTTTATTTTTAAAAAATTGAGTCCCGATGTCCTCTACCAAGGACGTAGCATAACTTATGAATGAAATATCATTTTTATTTTTGTAAATTTTTTTGAATGCTCTGAACAATGTAATGACATGAAAAAATACTATTTTTTTCCTAAAATGTTTTGCCGGGTCTCAAGAGGTTAAAATAAATAAAAATAACTACATAACTAACTAAATATAAACTATAGAATAAAAATAAATGTTAAATAAATGTAATAACAAGCAGAAATTAAAATCCGCACACGGTTCCAGGGCTGCACCTCCTCAAAAAATCAATTCAATGCTTCATCAGAGGCCGTAAAAAAACAAGTGCAAAAGGTGTACAAAGGTGCAAAACGTTTTCGAGACAAAGCTCTTCCTCAGTGCCACATTGATTAGTGCACACCTGCACACATTAAAACATCAATATTCACCATGGACATCATAATATGCGCGCAGCACAAAAAAGCACCATACACTATCCAATTTACCTTAAGAAATTCTAATACATATTAATGGTAAAAACTCCTTAATGCAAAAAATCTTCAATACAAAAAAAAAACATCATTAATGCAAGATGCAAAAAAAAAAAAAAATTAAAAACCAATTCCTCATTCATACCAAGGGGATATATAATGATCTCGAATCAAGAATCAATTTGCATTCTCTTTGTAAAAGGCGGCGTTCCATGTCACGACCCCTTCAAATCTGTGGTAGGCTATATGTTCTATTACAGTAAAATCCAAGTCCGATATGGAATGTGACGCTTTGCACCTTTGTACACACTTTGCACTTGTTTTTTTACGGCCTCTGATGAAGCATTGAGTAAAATATTTTTTGAGGTGTAAACTCTGCATACAACCGTGTGCGGATTTTAATTTCTGCCGGCTTCATATTTTTTTGGATTACGCACCGGATTTACTGTGCGGTTTGATATTGGGCATCTGGGGCTGCTCCTCTTCTGTGACTTTAAATAAATGTTAAAAAAACAAAAACAATTATATATATATATTTTTTTTAATTAAATTATTGCAATTGAATGCAATTATTCTGCCATACTCCAAAATAGTCAGAGAGCAAAAAAAAAATAATAAAAATAACCGGTAGCTTTTTTTAACCTTTAAATTTTACTTGACCTTTTTTTTTTTTTTTTTAAATAAAGGCCATCCAAGTTCACTTACACTGTCAGGGACAGAGACAATGCAATTGTTCACATACATGTTGTTTTATATTTTAAGTGAAAGAATAAAAATGGCAGATACAAATCTGAGTGAATGGCAAAAAAGTAAGTTTCATCATTTAAGAGCGTGATCACTGTTGTAGGCATGATGCAATCAAAATGCCAAATCAGTAAGTCAAAGTTAGCAAAAGAAAAAAAAGAGATATTTCAGAATATTGTTTTAATCACACATACATGCAGTTCATCCAGAAAAAGTGTCATCAGTAATTTCATCCCCTCTCACTCTTTTCCTTCAACCAGAATCTTCCAAAAACACCTTGTACACTTGGAATGATCCAGCGCCTTTGTCCATTGGTGGAACTCTGTCAACAAGTCATGGAGTTTCTATTACACAGTAATAAAAAAATGTTATTATTTTAAGTTTAATTAAATGTGTGGCATTCCCCATGAACGTCAATCAATTATCCTTCATGCACTGAAAAGGGAAGAATTTAGGGCTAATAACACAACCGCGCTCTTAATGGCCCTTATGACGACGCTTATAGGTACAAAACACCCAGAAAGCAATACAGTTGAAAATGATACAGAAGGTTGTCCTGTCCTGTAATTCACAATTCATAAGCATTTCTTTAACAATATCAGGAGTGTTAAGTGTAAACAAAAATATTTAAGGCTATCTTGAGTAATAACGACACAGATTAGGAATTATGTCCTGCTCCACAAAAAGGAGAATTCTAGCTTGAATTCAAACTAAACAACAAATGTCTGCAATGTCCTCAAGGAGATGCAAATTCTTAGTGTATGAAACATAAGCCCGCCCACATCATTCTGCTAAACTGATTGGCTGATCAGTAACAGTGGCAGAGCAAGAAAGCAACAACGTCACCTGAGGACTTCTACAGATGTCAGCTGACCACTTAGACATACAAGTCCAAATACAAAGTGACGTATTAGTGAGGATACATGCAGAAAAAGTAAGAATAATACACACAGCTATCTTAAATACAGATGTTTATGACTGTTAAAATAAGAACTTGGATATGCAAGATGTGATCTGTGAAAAGCAGAACAGGACAACATTCAGTTGTTTGGCTAAAAAACAACATCAACAAAATCTAACCATTAGCCTTTGCAACCGCAAGTTTAAATTGAAATGCTTCCAGCATTAGCCTGCTGTGTAAGGCCCGGTTACTCATGTCTACAATCTTTTCCACCTTTATTAGTTACCACAAAAAGTAAAACCAATCTGGTTTCTGATCTGAATCTGTTCAGAGTACTTTCACAGAGGAATATCTGAGCAGAGAGCAGCTGAAGACTGATTAGAGCTGATTGCACTGGCTTCTGTGTAAATTGTTCACTTTGCTTACATTTATTTCTTGATTTACCTTTTATATCATGTTTGGTGCATTGTGTGAGAGTGCAATATTCATAAAATAATTTGCTTTGGAGGGAAAAAAAAGATGGGGAGTGGAACTGTACAGCCATGAATATTTCGATTCGGACGTCCTCCCATGTGCAACAGCAGGAGGGCTTATGTTAATGGAATGGCAGATCTCCATGACGACTTCTTGCAGCTTCGGTAGTGAGGAAGAAAACTCATCTTCAGCTAAACGAGACAAGAAGAATTGGCAGTGAGAATGCTGGATCCAATAAAGTTGTGCTTAACAAACCCAAGGATTTTATACTCCCATGAGGGGAGCCCATGATTATTATTATTAGACACTGAAGTAAATGAACAAAATGTTCCAAAAACTACGCTGTTACACTAGAAGTGGGTACTCAATTGTGCCATTAGGGCTGGGCGATATTGCTAAAAAACTTTATCAACGATATAATGTTTCATATCGTTCGGTATCGATAATTATTGACATTTTAAAACAAAGAGCAATATACATTTTTTTTTACATTTAACCACTTTATTTTTAAATTAACTCAATTTATTGAGACAAACAAATTTTTTTTTGTTGTTTTAATAGTCAAACACAAAATTAAAATTAAACAAATATTTAATTTCTAATGTTTTATATGCAGATTAAATAGGTTAAAGTCTCGTGGGCTAGACTAACAAAACATTAACCTACAACGTCACTTACATCATCATCATCACCGCATCTCGCGCTCCGCTGATGACGCTCCCTGACACACACCTAACATTCGATTGTACCATTTTTGCATTCAAATGCAAATGTTTATTTTAAATTCGACTAATATTCTTTTTTTTTATTCACAATCTCCTCATCACAGGCAGGCACAGCACTCATGTTTGTGTGTGCTGTCTGCGTCACTCATAGCACGTTCCTATATCGTGCACTGTCTAACATTTTTTTACATTGTTATCGAAGAAGGTGTACCGTCGATAAATATCGATACCGTTTTATCGCCCAGGCCTATGTGCCATTATGGTCTTTCTTCAAACAAAAGCCACAGATTCTTTCTTAAAAACTGTACAAACCTCTTGTCTTGTTTAGCGCCACCTCCTCTGATAGGCATAGGTTGGCTGTTCTGGTAGAGTACGCCGCCACCTCCACGCACCATGCTGGGGTGTGTAGGAGAAGCTACGGGCTGCTGTCCAGGCCTGATGGGTTTAGCTACAACCAGAAAATACAAGCAAATCATGAGAGAAAAGATCATGGACTCTTTTTTTCTGTTGCGTTAATTTTAATCAAGGTGCCTGAGCTTGTATAAGCGTTCAGTCACCTATCTGTGCGGAGTGTCCTCTGCGGGCCATGTTTTTGGCTCTCACGGCCTCTTTGATGCGGTCCACCTCTGTCTGGTAGCGCTTGCGGTCACGGGCCGCGTTCTCTTTGGCCTCTTTGAGTGCTGACTCTAGAGCCTTCACACGCTCCGCCGTCGCCCGCAGACGCTTCTCCAGTTTAGGAAGCTCACAGCGCAGGTCAGCATTATCACGCACCAGCTAAAGAAGACAGAAAAACACCAGTGATTAAAAGAGAGAAATGTATACTTCAATCACTTCTGTTGTTTTTGTTGATTACAAAGTATTGTGTAATTGTTTATCTTTTAATAATTTATGCATGTTGTTTGCAGTTTTATTTCCATGAAAATGCTTTGGCAATATGAATCTAAAAACATCTGTCATGCTAATAAAACTGGCAATATAGAGTAAGAGGAAAAATGTTAGACAAACATAAGCAAAATAAAAGGAATTATTTAGATTAAGAGTTTGTACATTTTGATTTTGAACAAGTAAAAAATATTTACTAACATGTGTGAATCATATTAAGAGGACTTTTTTTGGTTTGGATTTACCTGTTTGTGGACCTTGGTGAGTTGTTCTAGATTGTTTTCCAGGAAAGAGATCTTCTGCTTCTGAGCAGCACTGCCACCAGTTTCATCAGAGTCCATCTCTGCACTCTACACACAGACAAAAAACAAAAACCCTTCAATTAAATACCCACCAAGTTGACTAATTGGAAAGAAACTCTGCATATGGATTTACATTAGAGATCTTCTGTTTCTGAGCAGCACTGCCACCAGTTTCATCAGAGTCCATCTCAGCACTCTACACACAGACAAAAAACAAAAACCCTTCAATTAAATACCCACCAAGTTGACTAATTGGAAAGAAACTCTGCATATGGATTTACATTGACATAGGTTTACTTTCAAAACAGACTAGATACGAATAGATATGAAAACTAAAGGAAGATGCGCGACAGATTAACTCCTACCTTTTTTACACGAGTCGCTAGATCCTGAACAAACAGTTTCCTGAGGTTGTGCAGAGTCTGCAGCTCTTTGGCCTTAAATAGTTGAAAAATAACGTTATTTGAAAATACACACTACATGATGTGAATAAAACTGTCATCTTTAGTTGCCCCGTTGGGCTGACATGAGGAATTGCACTCACCACAGTCTCCTCCAAGCCTTTCAGATCCTGTCTGGCCTGTTCTCTGCGGTCCTGCATCATACTGTAATGTGCACACAAATCCATTAAAACAAGCTCATCACTAGAGACATTTGTAATTTATTATACATTTAATATGCAGGTGTGTATTTATGCCTCATGCAAAATTGCTCTGCTTTTTTTTGATGTATAACCGAAACCAGGGAAATTTGGGTTTCATAAAGAGATTCATAAACGGTTCAAGCAGTTCGACTGCTACAATAAGGGAGATGAATAGAACTGACTGTGCATTACATACGTGAGCTCGTGTAGTTTGCGGCTCTTCTCCTGGTCATTGGATTTGAGTTTTTCATGTTCTACCCTCAAACGCTCCTGCTCCAACAAGATCTTCTGATTCAGGCTAGAGAGAGAAGGAGAGAATTTATTAGCTATTGGTGTATTATTAATAATACTGCTGTGAATCAAGAGCTGCAAGTCTGAAGTTTAACTTTGATGTGATGTTATAGATGAGTTATGACTGTGTTGTACTTCTGGAAATCAGTCAGTATATTTCCACACACTTTACCAGTTCAGTTTCTGACTGAAATTGCTTTGTCAACTGAAATGTGTGTATCATACTCTTGTAGATCTGTAATCAGTTTCTCTTTGGTTTCTAGTTCGTCTCTCAGGCTGCTGATCTGTTTCTGATGGGCTTCCCTGTGACTCTGGATCTGCTTCTCAACCGCCTCCTAAACACAAAAACATGCACTCGTATAAAAAAAAAAAAAAACACATCCACATTGAACAAGCCCATTTGTATGTGTGTGTGCGCGTGTACACATTTCTTACCTTCACCTCATTGGCACTCTGAATCTCACTCTCTTTCTCCATTGCATGAACCTTCTCTGTTGCCACAAACACAAACCAAACATTGGAAGCAGAAACAACTACTGTATTATTTTGAAATAGCGTATGCGCATGCATAATCTGTTTTTGAATATGATCCTGTGTGTACCCTGTGCACTGATTTTGACCAGCTCCTCATTGAGAGAGTCCACATCCTCCTCCAGCTGTCTCTTCTTGTGCTCTACATTCTGCAGATACTCCGTCAGAGATTTAATTTTCGCCTCATGCTGCAAAACAAACATTCATTTGTTAATATCAAATATTTATTTATTCTTATCATTATGATTCAGTAGATTATAGTGCAGGGTTTGCCATGTAAGGAATAACTGAGTTTTAGGAGGCAAGAGTGTAAAACCGTACCTGGGAGATGCGTAACTGGCATGCTGCAAGCTCCTTATCAGTTTCATCCATCGTTTTGTTGCTCTCAGACTGAGTGTTTTCCAACTGCTTGCAACGTTTGACCATCGATTTGACTTCTGACTTCATCTTACTGATGTAGAGTCTGGCTACAGTGAACTCTTCATCTATAAGACCACTGCCCTCATGCTGCTGCAGAGAGAGAGATTCCTCAGTATCACTCAGTTTTAACTGTTTATTTTTCCATTTTGACTTTTTTTTTTATTTTTTCTGTTTTGACTTAACATTTAAGTTTCATCCACAAATCAACTAGTTATGGTTATTAAAGCTACTAAAGGTGCTAAATAAGCAATAAAAGGTGAAGTGTATAATCGTTTGTTAAAATCTATTAATACATTTGTATAAACACTTTATAGATACAGATACTTGGTTTAACAACTACAATAAGCCATTCATAGGCTGGTGATTCTAGTTTTGGCAGAACATACACACTTCACCTTCACCTTAAAAAACCTATATGTATGTCACTCACCTTGATGTCATTGTTGCCCACTGCAATGCCAATCTCAGTCAGATCTTTGAGCAGTGATGACATCATCTCAGTTACCCTCTTCTTCTGGTGATTGGCCATTTCTTTCAGTTTCTGCAGCTCTGAGTCTATAGATGCCAGAGTACTCTGGAACAGAGAATGTTTTAAAGTCAAGTTTATTGTCATTCTTGTCATAGCAGACTGAGTGTAGGTAAAAGACTGATATATAATTAGCCCTTCTGGCACTTACAGATTTCTGACCAAGTTCTTCGCTAAGGGCTTCAAACTCCTTGGTTTTGTCCTCCACCTCCTGACTTTTCTGGTCGTAGTTGACAGCGAGCTCCTCCAGGGCCTGCAGCACCTCCTTCACCTCCTCTTTAGATGCCTCGTTCTCCAGCTGTAAACGTGTCAGCTCTGCCTGCAGGTTATCATGGTCTCTTCTTGACGAGGCCAGCAACTGCAAAACATATGCAAAAACATACTATAAGACCACTGCCCTCATGCTGCTGCAGAGAGAGAGATTCCTCAGTATCACTCAGTTTTAACTGTTTATTTTTCCATTTTGACTGTTTTTTTTTCTTTTTTTCTTTTTTCTGTTTTGACTTAACATTTAAGTTTCATCCACAAATCAACTAGTTATGGTTATTAAAGCTACTAAAGGTGCTAAATAAGCAATAAAAGGTGAAGTGTATAATCGTTTGTTAAAATCTATTAATACATTTGTATAAACACTTTATAGATACAGATACTTGGTTTAACAACTACAATAAGCCATTCATAGGCTGGTGATTCTAGTTTTGGCAGAACATACACACTTCACCTTCACCTTAAAAAACCTATATGTATGTCACTCACCTTGATGTCATTGTTGCCCACTGCAATGCCAATCTCAGTCAGATCTTTGAGCAGTGATGACATCATCTCAGTTACCCTCTTCTTCTGGTGATTGGCCATTTCTTTCAGTTTCTGCAGCTCTGAGTCTATAGATGCCAGAGTACTCTGGAACAGAGAATGTTTTAAAGTCAAGTTTATTGTCATTCTTGTCATAGCAGACTGAGTGTAGGTAAAAGACTGATATATAATTAGCCCTTCTGGCACTTACAGATTTCTGACCAAGTTCTTCGCTAAGGGCTTCAAACTCCTTGGTTTTGTCCTCCACCTCCTGACTTTTCTGGTCGTAGTTGACAGCGAGCTCCTCCAGGGCCTGCAGCACCTCCTTCACCTCCTCTTTAGATGCCTCGTTCTCCAGCTGTAAACGTGTCAGCTCTGCCTGCAGGTTATCATGGTCTCTTCTTGACGAGGCCAGCAACTGCAAAACATATGCAAAAACATACACAAGCATGAATATACAATGTTTAGCCTACTTGTTAATAGTCTTTTACGCCAATTTCACATGTGCACATGAGAGTTCACTAACCTCTTCCTGGTCCAACATCTGCTGCTTGAGCTTCTCCACCAGCTGAGACTGCTGATTAATCTCTTCATCCTATAGAGAGATGAGATGCAAAACACAAAAATCAAGCTCTCATTCAAGGTCAATCATATTCTTTAGGAAAAGTCATCATGCTTTTATTCTTCTAACCATGACTGTAGCAACTAGGGGGTTTTTGAGGAAATTTTGTAGATTCATATATATTTATTAAAGAAATTGTGAGTGCATGAGTATGTGTACCTTGTCATCAAGCTGCTTGTAAAGTTTGACGAGTTCAACCTCACATTTTTCTTTCTCAACATCGCCGAGTCGGGCCCCGAGCATCCCTGGCATGGGCGGCATGCTTGGTGTGGATGCAAATTTATCATTATTAGTTGTGTTATCCAGTGCCAACACTTCAGCATTAATCTTCTCCTTATCAAATTGCTCCTCTGCAGGCACCGTTTCACCTGCGGGAAACAAACAGAGAACTCTGAGGAAATGCAAACGTGTACTTTTAAAAGTTTAAACCTAAATAAAATATTTTAGGACTTTGAAAAATGTTAAAGAAATGTACAATGAATCATATCAATCACTTTAGATACAAAAATGCAGAACAGAAGCATTTCACAAGTGGTTTCAGACAGCACTGCAAACAACAGCACTGCAAAGGACAGCACTGCAAAGTTTTGAATACATTAAGGACAAAACTGTATCATATATGTAAAAAATATAATAATAATTAAAGCTGCAAGCAGCGATGAACGGGCCCTCGCACCCGGGCTCACCGCCATGGGGTGGCTTTAGTAAAACAGCGAACGGCGAGCATTATGCATTTAAAGTGGTAAATATAGGAGGAATACGTCAAAGTCATTTATATGTGCCAATCTTCCTGCTGCCAGCTGGTGGCGCTATAACTATAACTGGATTTTGGCATGTAGATTTCTTCAGTCCAGCACTTTTATCAAACATATGAAATTTGGTGCAGATTGAACATGGTATGTTTGAGTTAGTATAAAGCATGACGTGTCCTATTGCCAACAGGTGGCGCTATGATTATAACTGAATATTGGCCTTTAGATGTCTTCAGGCCATGACTCTTTCCAAATATGTGACGTTTGGTGCAGATCGGACATAGCATGTTTAAGTTAGTGTGAAACAAGCCATTTCCTGTTGCCAGCAGGTGGCGCTATGATTATAATGGAATATTGGCCTTCAGATGTGTTCAGGCCAGGACTTTTATTGAACCCTCGCACCGCGGTGCTCGGGCCCTAATAATAATAATAATATACACATAATAATCAAAATAGGGATCTGACCATTTCTCCAGCGGTTGAGTTCGTTCTCCAGCCATGTGATGGTGTTTCGAAGGCTCTTGTTTCGTTCCTTCTCTCTCTCATATTTCTTCTTCCATTGCTCTGCTGTCAGCTCTACATTCAAAATCACTGTGTTCTTAATAGTCTTGGCTCTGCAAACACAAACCCAATCACAGCTGTAAACTGGTGTCTTTCTCTTCACACAATCTTTGTATAAATATATAGAGTTGTAATTATTCTTGCATAAATGCATAACAAACAAGTGAGACCAGTGACACCTTTACTATAAATGGTGAGAACAGACAAAGTGACAGAGCTAAAAAAAAAAAAGCATGAATGTGTCTGCTCACCTCTGTCCGAACATAAGGGTGGATTTGGACTCGGCCTCGTTATATGAGGAAGGAGAACAGCAGATGACGATGGTGGTCCTGCAGTTTACACCCAGAGAATCCTGCAAGATCCTTGTCATTTTACTGTCTCTGTATGGAACGTACGCCTGAGAAAGAAATAGAGATTTATTTTCACATTTATTTATTTATTTGATCAAATTAGATCAAATGATATCAAATATTAATAAAACAGATTTAAATATATAATGAATTCCATTATGAAGTAAATGTTAATAAAGTTCAATGACCACAACTGAGGGAAATAAAAAAATTAATTTGTTCAAATCTTTACCCAAAGGTGTTTCGAGAAGCCCATGTGCAAAACTGTCCTGCCAACGAGGAGAACACAAGGACTGTTGTGTACTATCAGTACGGTACAGTTTGCTGCCCATCATGTCCAAACAGTGAAAACTACAGGGTGCACAATACTGGACAAAACTGACATTGTGTAGGAAAGTACTGGAATTTTCACCAGATTACTTAAAGGGGTCATGAACTGAGAAACCAAAATTCCCTTGATCTTTTCACATATAAGAGGTCACTGTACTATAAAAACATCCTGTAAGTTTCAGAACTCAAATTCCTAGGAGTCCATAACAGTGTTAACCATGACACTTCCTGTTGCCAGCAGGTGGCGCTATGAGTACAACTGAATTTGGGCATGGGTATTTGTTCAGGACATAACACCTATCAAACGTGTGAAGTTTGGGGCAGATCGGACATTGCTTGCCTGAGTTATAGCAACTTCCTGTTTTATGGCGAAACATCAAACTTTGTCAGGCCGCCAGGGACACGCCCCTTGACGAAAACTCAAGATCTTCGCAATTTAACGTCACAAAGGCCTTATGATGACCCTCACCAAATTTGAAGATGATCCGAATAAAACTGTAGGAGGAGTTCGTCAAAGTACGAGGCCTGGAAATGTCAAAAACTGCACAAAAATTGTACAGTAAATTCAAAATAACGTGCATCCTGTTGGGGTTTGGATTTTGTACCAAGAGACTTTTTTGTAGGTAATGGTGTGTTACGCACGTGTACCGATTTTCGTACATGTACGTAAAACGTAGCTCGAGGTGCACTCCGTTGTAATTTTACAGGTGGCGCTATCGAGCCGTTTTGCCACATCCACTTCTGAAACCCATATCAGATGTAAATTTTCGCCAGTTCTGATGCGTGTGCAAAGTTTCATGAGTTTTGGAGAATGTTTAGGCCCTCAAAAAAGCGATTCACTTTGGAGAAGAAGAATAATAATAATAAACGGAGCAATTCCAAGAGGGTCCTCGCACCGCGGTGCTCGGGCCCTAATAATAATAATAATATACACATAATAATCAAAATAGGGATCTGACCATTTCTCCAGCGGTTGAGTTCGTTCTCCAGCCATGTGATGGTGTTTCGAAGGCTCTTGTTTCGTTCCTTCTCTCTCTCATATTTCTTCTTCCATTGCTCTGCTGTCAGCTCTACATTCAAAATCACTGTGTTCTTAATAGTCTTGGCTCTGCAAACACAAACCCAATCACAGCTGTAAACTGGTGTCTTTCTCTTCACACAATCTTTGTATAAATATATAGAGTTGTAATTATTCTTGCATAAATGCATAACAAACAAGTGAGACCAGTGACACCTTTACTATAAATGGTGAGAACAGACAAAGTGACAGAGCTAAAAAAAAAAAAGCATGAATGTGTCTGCTCACCTCTGTCCGAACATAAGGGTGGATTTGGACTCGGCCTCGTTATATGAGGAAGGAGAACAGCAGATGACGATGGTGGTCCTGCAGTTTCCACCCAGAGAATCCTGCAAGATCCTTGTCATTTTACTGTCTCTGTATGGAACGTACGCCTGAGAAAGAAATAGAGATTTATTTTCACATTTATTTATTTATTTGATCAAATTAGATCAAATGATATCAAATATTAATAAAACAGATTTAAATATATAATGAATTCCATTATGAAGTAAATGTTAATAAAGTTCAATGACCACAACTGAGGGAAATAAAAAAATTAATTTGTTCAAATCTTTACCCAAAGGTGTTTCGAGAAGCCCATGTGCAAAACTGTCCTGCCAACGAGGAGAACACAAGGACTGTTGTGTACTATCAGTACGGTACAGTTTGCTGCCCATCATGTCCAAACAGTGAAAACTACAGGGTGCACAATACTGGACAAAACTGACATTGTGTAGGAAAGTACTGGAATTTTCACCAGATTACTTAAAGGGGTCATGAACTGAGAAACCAAAATTCCCTTGATCTTTTCACATATAAGAGGTCACTGTACTATAAAAACATCCTGTAAGTTTCAGAACTCAAAACTCTCTCGGTAGTCTAAAAACAGCTTATATTGAAGCCAGTCTGCCAAAACGGCACCTTGTGGAATGTGCCACTCTATGATGTAATAGTGTGGCTAAACACTGCCTCCGCTGAAGAAGAGCAACGCCTGCTTCTACATCACTGCCTGTTCAGCCCCGCCCACCAATTTGCGCATGTAGAGTAAATAACAAGAGGGGCGAACGCAGGTCTACGAAGAAATCAAACGCTAAATATGCTTCGAAGACAACAAGATGCTGTTCAGTGCCAAGTTGTGGAAAAACAGTCTTTGCATTGCCTTCCTTCTGATCCCAACATTAGGAAAGAGTGGATGAACTTTATTTTTAATGAAATTCCAGACCGCGTCATTAAGAACTTGGTCCTTTGTTCACTTCATTTTACCACGGATTCGTTTACAAACAAGGAACAATTCGACGCGGGATTTTCAGAAAGACTGAAACTAAAAGACGATGCTGTGCCGAATATATTGGATCCGACAGTAATGTCTCACCACACAAGTGTTTTTATTACGTGGTCACTATTGCTTTGTCTGTTATTACAGATTGTTTGATATGTATGGAGTATGCGTCCATCTGTGAAGGATGTAGGCTGTCAAACATACACACAACTGTTAGCCAATCATAGCAGTGGGCGTTTACTTCTGAGTCTACAATCCGCACACCTATTCAAACAGAGCGTTCCAATGAGGGGGGTCAAAATAGCCTATAGAAAATATCCTATTACTTCTAAATTATGATGTTTTTTTGATGCAAAAATCTTAATAACATTATAAGTGGACCTCAGAGAACAGTACAAAATAACAAAAAAAGGCAGTTCATGACCCCTTTTTAAATAGCTATATTTAGAAAGAATGAACCATAGTTAGTGGGATGATTTTATTGGGGAGTGCATCTGCATAGAAAAAAAATTAATAAATAAAGCGAAAAAATTAATTAATTGATTTTTGAATGTGAAATATGGTGCACGCTGCTGCTTCAATTGAGGCAGTGATTTGTTGTGCCACATTAAAAAGTCAAAATTCACCGTTTTAATGTTTCAATTTTGTTATAACATTGACAGAATTTGTATCAAATCAAAAGTACCAAAGCACATTGCGATTATTGGATGGGAGGCATGCTACAAATGTTTAGCGAAGTTTAATATTTTTAACCCAGCCCTAGTGCCCACACAGCTGATATGTTTATCTATTGTAGCTTATCCACATTGTGTGCATGCAACAGACACTTCACAGTGAAAACACAGCATTGGATGCGTGTTGGATTGCATTGGATTAATTACGTTGTACCCTACTAGAATTGATGCCGACCATGCTTATCATAAGTGCAACAAGTCATTTGCATGGGAAAGTAGAAATATGTGCAATTCAGACGAAACTTCTGGCTAAAACGTGCACTCTAACTTTCCTCATTAAATGTGTCTGTGGGTTCGACATAGCCTCCACGTCATCATGACCAGCAGTTATGAGCAGCAGGCTGTGTAATATGAGTGAATTCTTTTATTTTTGTTATCACTTAGATTATGGCCATTTGACTTATAGCAGTGTGTTTACCATACATTGATTTATTTGTGGCGGCCCGTCACAATATTAAAACTGACAGCCACAAATAGATTTTCCAAAAGGCTTACACTTCGTTGAATAAACATGAGCACTGCGCGTTTCAAAATCAAAATGCGGCACGGGTGTTTTTTATATGAATGTATCTTTGAAAAGAACCGACCGTCTTCAGAAAAGCTTCGATGTCATTTTCATTTAGTTTTTCCTGTAATGCCTGATAAAGTAGCATTTGTGAGCACAGCGCTTATTTGATTACAGCTGTTACCAGGGACACCACTATATTTCTCCCGCTCCAAAAGTGCCTCTTGCTGGCAGAGAATGAATTTGCATTTGCAAGTCTGTGGGAAACACTGGTGTCTGTCAACAAACAAACAAAAAGCATGCTTCAGAACTGTTTTGTATCATATATCGGTCATCGGCTGCCCTGATTTCTAAATATCGGCATTGGCCAGAGAAAAACCCATATCAGTCAACCTCTATAGTTAAGCATTACCATTTCGGCCAATGGTTTCTGCCCTCCAGTTTCAGCCAAAACTGAAAATTCACTAATTATACTATATTATATTAAATTATCTTAAATTGTATTCAATTATATATATACAGTGGTGTGAAAAAGTGTTGGCCCCCTTCCTGATTTCTTATTTTTTTGCATGTTTGTCACACTTTAACTAGCGTCACAGCTCCAGGACCTAAACGCTACAAAACAAAAGAGTGTACAGAACTGATCTAAAGCCTGTGAGCATATGTATGTGTGTGTGTGTGTGTGTGTGTGTGTGTGAGAGAGAGACTCACAGATTTAGAGATGGCTCTGATAACCCTGGAGAAGCCCACAGCGTCATTCAGCTCCTCCTGTAACACACAATCAATCCGAGCCCTCGGCTAAGGCCGATATCACGTTGCCCAGAGATGACAGAGACTTGTTGATGTTTTTGGCTTCATCCAGCACAGCGCCTTCAGCTCCTGTTTTACTGACCTGTGAAAGAACACAAGAGTTTAACACACTCAACTCATGTTTTACTGCACTACAAGATAGGGGTTGCAACGACTAATCGACTTTAATGCTCTGCCATGGCACTTTAAGCTTGACGTCGACTAGTTGCTGATCCTATAGAGGGTGCAACATGATAAGAAATATTTGAAGTCCACATTTACGCTCCGTTTCCAAACAGTTAAAATGACAAATAAATGCATAATCCGAAAGCACTCCACAAAGTTAATCGCCGTTCTAATCTAATGCGCTGCTGCATTGTAACACACACCATAGGCTACAGACAGTAGCTCACACATCACGCACAGATCACACACGCATAGAATCATTCAGTAGCGTGGAAATGTATTGTCAACACTGTTCTGTGATTTCTCAATAATATAGCTTAGAAACTAACTCTTAATACCTAAATCCCACAGTTTCACTATTAGTAGCGAGACGCTACCAAGTAGAATGAATTCACACACACAATAACTCTCTCACTAATGCGTTCATATAAATGCAGTGCTTGAAGTGGAAAAGTGCCGGTACTACCCCCCACCACCACCATCAATCAATCAATCAATCATTAAATAAACGTTTTCAATACAAATAAGCACAAATCAAGCTGTGATACCAAAGGGAGACGCCAAAGACCACTAAAGTTCCTGCCTTGACCTGACTGTAGGCTACTATATACTATACAGACCCATTCAGAATCACTAAAACTCTGACCACCGCAAACACCTTCAGCTTTTTATAACACTCACTTTTAAGCCAAATACACACTGAAAAGAATAATTTACTGACTGGACGTCACTATTCTCTCCGCAATCTCTGATGAAATCGGCTGTGTTTTCTCTGCATTAGCGCTGTTTTGAACTTACTGTTTGAATTGCTCACTGGATCCTTGGACTTTCCAGTTTACCGGCTTAAAATGATCGCAAAAACCTGCTTCTTTTCATTTTTAAGGTATTGTTTTCGTTATCATCAGGGTTCCCACTCTTTCATGAACACCAGATTCAAGGACTTTCAAGGACTTTTTCAAGCACCATTTATTTTATATCAAGCACCTATCAAATTCACACCCCAGCATATGTAGTGTCATGAAAGACCTTACATTACTTAACATTTCACTACTTACACTTAACATTTACATTAAACATTTCAGAGTAATAATGTTTTGAATGTGTAGGTTTCATAAATTTAGACCGTTTTGAGCAGTCGTGTTCAAAGGAATTTAATGAAATCCATTGAAGTCAGTACTGGTAATATTCAAATTAAATTTCTAAAATATTGATAAAATATGCATCAAACTGATTTTTGCTGTAGTTCTTGTACAAGATTTAAATTTGAAAGAATTTCTCAATTTTTAAATTAATAAAAAGTGGTGAAATGTTGAAATAACATGGTAAAACCTGTTAACAT